TCCCCCACCCACCATGTTTTCCAGATATGGCACCATCAGCTTACCATCTTTTTCGTTCACTGCAACACCATCTTAATGGGAAAATAAATGCAAATGTGGAAGGTGTTAAAGAGGACATTGATATGTTTCTTGCTTCAAGGCCAAGTAATTTCTTTGATCAGGGCATTAACAACCTTATTGTAAGATGGAAAAGCCTCATCAATAAGAATGGAGACTATTTCATTTAATAAATGTTTTGTTTTGATATATAGGCCATATGCCAACTTTAGGTTTCTTTGTTTATTATGAATTTTGCACAAAGCTACACAAGGGCTATTTGCACTAGTCGTCCCTAATTTAGCAGTGTAAGACTAAAGGGAAGGCAGCTAGTCATCACCACCCATTGACAACTCTTGGGCTACTCTTTTACCAATAAATAGTGGGCCAACTTTTTTTTTTCAGAATGAAGTGGAATGGACTAGAAATAGAGTGGACACCTCATCTCTAATGAACAGATTTTGACTGTAGGAGGAGGATTTTTAAGAGAACACTATATATAACAGATCAATGTAGTGATATGTAGCATTGATCCAACTAAAGATTCTGATGTATCATAGCTATGTGTATTGGAGGACCCACATTACACTGCAGTGTCACTCAAGCCCCTCTTCTCACTGTAGAGGGACCTCTTCTGCCTTCAGGGGTTAGTCTCAATTGGTGAAGATTCTCTATGGTTCACCACCCCAGAGACTGATAAGGCTGGTAAGTGGCAAGGGTCTCCCATGCTCCACTCCACAAGAAAGTTGGACTTGCATACAGGATATCCAGAGAATGTGCGCAGATCCCCATCAGTACAGAAAGGTACAGTGATCTTGCAGAACACCCCATTTAACAATGAACACATGAAGGGTCAAGGCAGATGTTAAGAGCACTTTCCATTATCCTGGACTGATGCAGATTTTGGGTAAGTATACCCTGGGAGGCAACAATAGCCACTTAGTGAGATTCTACAGTAAGTTACTTACGAGTAAAAAAGAATTAAAGTATACTCACAAGTTTAAAGTTGATAGGTGGATTTAAGAATAACTATGGGCAGAAGTCTGAATCCTTCCAGAAACAAAACAGCCAAGTGGTGGAGATAATATGCAATGAAGGTTTGTGGGGTAGTCTACATACCAGCCTGGAGAATGTCCTGTAGAGGATGGTGAAAATAGGTTACAAGGGAATGAGTAAGGTGTCAAACCTGGTGAGAGGAGACAAAAAAAAGCTGACAATCATCCACTTTCAAAGAGGAGTAAACCAGACAGGTGAGATGGCAGATCTAGTCACTAAATGTGGAAGATGAGAGGGCTCTAGTACAGGAGGGGGTCCCAAGAAATGAAAAGATGGTGAAAGGAAACATGAAAAGAAGAAGTGTGAGATACATAAAACAAACAGCCCATTGAAGACATAGGATTCTGTTAGGGTCAGAATGATCACTGATATGTGATATAAAATGAAGGGATTTGGGAGAAAAGGTATGATCATCAACACTAGCAGCAGAAGTCA